TCTCTCTCTCTCTCTCTCTCTCTCTCTCAAATAAAATAAAGGTATTGTGTCCAACTACAAAAAAAAAATTGCCAAGTAGTCCTTGGAATATATAATATATGGTTATTTAGTTTCCTTATTAACAACATTGGTGAGGCTCATGGTTAATAAAATTGATTTAGACAGAAGCTACTTTGAACTCACAACTGTGTGTGTGTGTATGTATTCTGTTTAGAGATATATTTCCATCCTTTTCTCCCAAAGAGAATATTATTGAAGTCCCTCTTAAACAGAACTTAATGGGACTTATAAAAAGAAGGTATAAAATATTTTATTTAATCAGAAAGTAGATATTATTATTTACGTAAAAAGATGAAATGATAGTAGTATAAAAAACAGGAATTGCCATACGTAAGTATCTTGAACCTAAATTTATTTATTAAAGAATGTGGTGCTAGGTGAAAGCACATGAAAGAAAATACAAAAAAGAAACAGAAGGGGCTGGGGTTGTGGCTCAGTGGTAGAGTGCTCACCTAGCATGTGCAAGGCCCTGGGTTCGATCCTCAGCACCACATAAAAATAAAATAAAGATATTGAGTCAGTCTACAACTAAAAAATAAAATATTAAAAAAGAAAATGGAGGCAGGCCTCAGGGACCAGCACCACAGGGGCACATCTGAGGGGGAAAAGCCAGTGGGCCACCACAGGGGGCCTACCACTAGGGTCTGGGTTTTTAGCAGAGCCAAATCACTGGAGGAGTTAGTTACTTTTGGCAGGCAGGGCCAGGTCATGGGAGCAGTTTTGGTGGTGGCATCTTTTAGGGCTGGGTGGGGCAGGGCAGGTAGGGGAACAGTAGGGGAAGTTCTTCGGGGCTTATTTTCCACATCCTTCACTAGGAAATGTTTAAGTTAACGTCTTTCTAATTTGTAGGAGGCTAATTCTTGTCATTGTTAATTTATTTCAGTGCAAAGCCAACTGACTTTGATTTTTTAAAAGTTATTGGAAAAGGCAGCTTTGGCAAGGTAAGCATGTTTTCCATTTTCTCATTCAGTGAATAAGTACTTAAGAAATGCATTTTGGGGCTGGGGATATAGCTCAGTTGGTAGAGTGCTTGTCTTGCATGTACCAGGTCCTGGGTTCAATCCTAGAACCAAAAAAAAAAAAACAAGAAAGAAAAAGAAATGCATTCTTATATGTGTGAGCCATAGGACTTTTTTGTTTGAAGGATATGAAGTTATTCATTCCTACAAATAGGAAAGATGTTAACTTAAACATTTCCTAGTTAAGTGATAACAGAATAATTAAGGAAATAAGCCATCTACTCAATTTCTAAAATAAAGTTTATTTATTGAACAAGTATTTGTTGAGTACCAAGTACTCATGTGGGCACTGTTTAGATACTGTTGAAAAAACTGACATGTTTACTACTTTTGTGATGCTTACCAGCTAGTGGGGAAAATAGTCCACTAAAATTTTGTAGTCATAGCTGGGGATAGTACATGTCTATAATCCCTGCTATTTGGGAGACTGAAACAGGGGGATCCAAAGTTTTGGCCTGTCTCAGCAATTTAGTGAGACCCTGTATCAAAATAAAAAGTAGAAAGGACTAAACATCTAGAGCTCAGTGATAGAAGTCTCCTAAGTTCAATTTCCAGTATCAGAAAAAAAAATTGCTATCAAGTGAACATAAACAGTAAAGGGGCAATGATAGAAATGAAGACTGGGTGAAGTGACAGAGGACAATAGGGCAGCTATAGGGGGGATCTCTACTTAAATGTATCGGTCAAGAATGATGGCTTTGAAGATATGCTATTTAAACTGAAGCTAGAAAGACAAAAATAAGCATTTGTAAATAGGAGTTAGAGAAGGGAAGGAATGTGCAAAAACCCTGCTTATTCTTATACAGTATCACCTGAATTGTTGAACTGTATTATGGAAGGAGAACCACTTAAGGTTACCAGGAAAAGTGTCATAGATAATTTACCAAAATCATCTAATATATTTAAGGGCTTTTTGCATTATTTTTCAATCTGTAGTAAAAATGAATATGTATGTGTTTATATTTTGGTATCTGTGGTCGTTTTTTTTTTTTTTTAATTCCCTTGAGACCAGAAACTGACCAATTAAACCCATGTATATTTATTCATTCACCAAATATATGTTGACCAATTTCTATATGTTGGGCATTATGCTACTATTAAGCAACAGAAAGCTAGAAGGATTAATCTAAAAATGCTTGTAATCTGTTGGGATGCTAGTCTGTTATTAAAAACAAAAGCATTTGCCAGGATCTGTGATGAATGCCTATAATCCCAAATACTTGGGAGGCCAAGTCATGAGGATCGCTAGTTCAAGGCTAGCCTGTGTAATATTGTGAGACTTCCTTCCCATCTCAAAAACAACAACAAAAAAAGGCATTGTATTTTGGAAATATCATTCTTAGATATAGAGTGGAACAGAATTCATTCTTGCATATAATGTGAGGTATAGAGTCACAGCTCATTTCTTTCCATGTGGATATTTAGCTGATTCTTACAGAATGCATAAAAAGATCCCCAGTGATCTGCAGGGTCACCTTCATCGTGTATTCAGTGTTCACATATGTATAGATCCATATTTAGATTTTATAGTTTGTATTTCTGTTTCTAGATTTTATATTTTGTTCCCTTGATTCTGACACCAGTGTCACATTGTCTTGACAACTGTTGCTTAATATCCAACAGAATAAGTTCTTTAATCCTTGTTCTTCTTTAAGAGGCCATTCTTAGCCTTTCTACATATCTGTACAAATTCTAGAGTCCTGTCAATTTCTGCAAAAATTCAGTTGGAATTTTATTTGGATCAGATTGAATATATAGATAAATTGGGGGAGAATTGGCATCTATAACATTGAGTCTTTCAATCCATGATCATGTTGTAATCTTGTTATTTTAGTTCATTTTTAAGTTTTCTTCAATAATATTTTAGTGTTCTCTGTAGAATTTTTTACACATATCTTTAACTAGATTTATTCCTAGGTGTTTCTTTTTGATACTGGTGAAACATGGTTTAAATTATTGAAGCTGAATATAGGCATTACCTGTGAAACATTTGTTCTTTGCTTAGCTCTCTAAAAGAAATGCATGTACACTAGGAAAAGCATGTACAAACATGCTTGTAGAATCAATCTAAATATCTATAGATGAAACAGTGAATATATATTGTAATGGAATATTCTGCACAGCCATGAAAACTATGTTACCTGCCACAACATGAATGAATATTATATAATTTAGAGTCAACGAAATATAAAACAGACAATTTTATGTTTGTTTTCAGTTACATAAAATTTTTAAAAGGACAAAACTTAGCAATTATTTCAAGTTGAGATAGTGGTACTTACCTTGAGGAGGAGGTGCACTGGAGTGGGGCAAGAAGGCTTCATGTTACTTATGTGTTTTATTTGACCTGGATAGTGGTTACACATAGGTGTATTCACTGTAAAAAATTTATTGAGCTGTGCTGACCTTGTGGGTTGTTCTATACATATGCTTATTTAATAAAAATTTTAAATCTTACAAAATGGCAGTGAGGTGCAATAAACCAAAGAATAAAAATACATAAAGAGAAGGAAAAGCAAACATGAAAACTTACATTCTACTGGAAAAATACGTAATAAACTGAAAATAAAGTTAGTCCAGTTTGTCTATTTGGCTTCTTAACCAGTGTGTTGTCCAAATCTGTCAACCTGCTGAAAAATTGGCCTAGGTGTTCTAATTGCCACATTCCTTTAAGTATTTTCTGGGAATTAATTGAACATGAACCAGTTGAAATACTGAAGAAGGAAAGGCCAGGCAGGTGGTAGTTGTCAAGAAGAGGAAAAAAAGTTTTAAGAAGTAACATTCAACAGAGTCAAATGCTATCAAGAACTAAAAACTGAGAAATGCGAAAAATACAGTTGAGCAGTGGACATTTTCATACTGAAGATATTTTGACTCCATCTTTATGAACAAAACCTTTTTTGTTTTTTGTTTTTGTTTTTGTTTTTATAGTCGACACATATCTTTATTTATTTATTTATTTTTATATGGTGCTGAGGATCAAACCCAGTGCCTCACACATGCTAGGCGAACACACTATCGCTGAGCTACAACCCTGCCCCTGAACAAAACATTTTTAATAATAGACCTTACTGTATTTTATTAAGAGACCAAAGAACAGTTTTAGACATAGAGAAAAATTGAGCAGAAAATAGAGAATTCCCAGTGCTCCCCAATGCAGTTTGCCCTCTTATTAACATCTTACATTTGTATGGTACATTTGTCACAATTAATAAACTAATATTGACATTATTAATAGAAGTTGGTAATTTGTTCAGATTTCCTTAGTTTTTGCCATGTGTCCTTTTTCTGTTTCAAGATCCTATCCAAGGGGCTGGGGTTGTGGCTCAGTGATAGAGCGCTTGCCTGGCATGTGTGAGGCACTGGGTTCGATTCTCAGCACTACCTATAAATAAAATAAAAGTCCATTGACCACTTAAAAAAAAAATCCCATCCAAGATAACACATTACATTTACTTCTTATGTCTCTTGGCTGTGACAACTTCTCAGACTTGCCTTTTTTTATTTTTTAGTTTTATTTGGACATAATACCTTTATTTATTTTTACGTGGTGCTGAGGATTGAACCCAGTGCCTCTCACATGCTAGGTGAGCACTCTGTTGCTGAGCCAAAACCCAGCCCTTGCCTTGTTTTTTGATGACATCAATAGTTTTGAGGATTACTGTACAAATATATTGTAGTATGCTCTACATTAAATTGTAGAATGTCCTATATATTGTGCTTGATGTATTTCACATATTTATACTGGAGTTACAGATTTGGGCAAGGAAGACCACAGAGGTATTAGAAATAAACCCCAGCAGTGTTGCTATTTCAGATCAGCTCAAAAAAAAAAAACAACTTTGGGACATGTCTATTAATAGTTACATACCTTCAGCAGTAGAGCACTTACCAAACATGTGCAAGGCCCTGAGTTCCACCACACATGCACACATTCTTCCTCAGCTTTCAGGTGGTCTCAAATCCCTTATAGATGAGTCATACATTACCTAAGAGTGGGAGGGAACATGTTCTGATGTGACTTCATCATTAAGAAAATGTCCTAGAAGGTACTCACATAAGCCACCTATATTCCTAGGTTATATGGTCTATACCATCATATTCGTGGTCCTTCATTGACCAAAATGTTAAGCAGTACACGACTATATTTGCAAAACTTTGAGAATGTCTTCCTTTTTCTGGGGTGAGATCTTCTAGGTTCCTTCAGACTTGTTATAGTATCTGCATGCAACCCAACCCATTGCAGAAATCAGTGATACATGGTTCTTCTTTCTCTGAACTCTTTGGAATTTAAAACCTACAAAATGAATGTAAATATAGAACAATACATTTGATAACCTAAAAATCATTTCCTGATTTTTTTTTTATATAGCCACGAAGTTTGTATTGTAGCCTCAGTATTTTCTCCAGGCATTCTTCAAGACTCCGGGCTGACACAGAGTTCTCATGCAGTGTAGATTTTGGCTCTTAAATTAGTAAGATCTCATTATAGAAATGAATTCAGTAATGCTCAATTTTCAGATCAAAAACATTATCTAGATCCCTTGTGTACGTACTCTTTAGAAAATTTGAGACTTACTGGTTTATTTACAAGACGAGGAAATAATTTCTATAAAAAGATTGAAATTTCTAATAGTTTGTACAATCTTTATAACAGGTTCTTCTTGCAAAACGGAAACTGGATGGAAAATTTTATGCTGTCAAAGTATTACAGAAAAAAATAGTTCTCAACAGAAAAGAGGTAAAATAAAATAGCTTCCATTTCTCCTGAGCCCATTTTCTTAATTAATAGAATCTTTTTCCTGGTGTCTAATACAAGTCGAACCTTTGCCTTTTTTTCCAGCAAAAACATATTATGGCCGAACGTAATGTACTCTTGAAAAATGTGAAACATCCATTTTTGGTTGGATTACATTATTCTTTCCAAACAACTGAAAAACTTTATTTTGTTCTGGATTTTATTAATGGAGGGGAGGTGAGTTTTGTAATTAGTTTTCTAATATTGATAATGGTTAGAAGAAAAAGCATAATTTTTTGTAAGTTTTAAAATGACAGCACATTATCAATAGCTTTTTGTTGAATAAAAGCAATATTTGAGAGACAGAGTACAGTACAAGATGTGGAAAAGTGTTAACTTGGGGGCCTGAAGCATATGGTGTAGTGGGGAAGATTCATAAAAGAAACTTATATAATTCTACAGGCCATGAATAGATTCATCACTAAGCTGTGTAGTAAGAGTGATATACTGACATTAGAATAAAACATGGTATGTAATTAAGATAATGATCGTTTCAACAGTTTCATATAAATATCACTCCAGCCTGTCATTTCTAAAATGTATAAACTATTAATCAGTGATCCTTTAATAAAAAGCCCCATGATGAAGACAGTTGGAAAATGCTTCATGTTGTAGCATCTATTTGGTCATTCATAGTGTATCAGCTTGTTAAACTTTGAAAAGATCTGCCCTAAACAAAGGAGTTTTCTTTATTTCTTTTTTTTTTTCTTTTATACTGGGGATTGAGCCCAGGGATACTCTACCACTTAGCTCAGCCCTTGTTTATTTTTATTTTTTTGTGATAGGGTCTCATTAAGTTGCTGAGGCTGGCTTTGAACTTGTTATCCTCCTGTCTGGGCCTCCTGAATAGCCAATATTACAAGCATGCACCACTGTGCCTAGTTTAAGTAGAGTATTTATTAAATGAAGAAAAATAATGTTTTTTAAAAAATCAAAGTTTCCTTTTTTGTTTGAACTAAATCTATTAATTATATTCCCCAAAACTCTGATTCAGAAGGATATTGAAATACACTTGTGAAATACTGCTAGAATAATTAGAGTAATAGCTAACATGTGTCAAGTATTACTTAGGTTTCAGCACTCTGGCTCTTTGTATTATTTTATCTTAAGAACAATTTTATTATATAAGACAAACCAAGGCTCAGAGAAGCCAGGTAGCTTGTTGGAATATTGTGACTTATAAATAAGAATTGGAGGCAGGAATTGAACTCAGGTATCAGGTATTCTTCTAGGTTCTAAGTAGCTGACTACTCCTGTTCCTCTACTTCTTACCCTCATGGCTAGTTTGTTTGATCTTTGACCTGTGAATCACTCTAAAATTATTTTAACTAACAGATACTGTCATATTTTTACAAAGGAATATTTTGTCCTCTGATACCAGAGGACATTTCAGTATTAATGTAGTACATTTAACTGTAGATTAAAGAACTAGGAGGAAGATGAGTTTCTGTTCTGCAAATCTGAATAAGGATCAGACATAACCTTGGAGCAAAGTTGTAAAAGGAATCTACTCAACTCTGTGCATCTATGACAAAAGTCCCTTAAGATCCAAAATAGAGACAAGATTTTAAGTCCTCTTCCAGACACCATAATTCAGAGATACAAATTAGCCCACATTGTTCCTACCTTGAAGGTTGCCACTTTATTTTGTGTGTGCTAAATACTAACAGATAATGAGACTTTACTGAGGACTTGGCACTTTGCAATTTACTTAAGTTTCAGGCTCTAGATTTAATCTAGACATCTTGACTGCAGAGTCTACTTTTTTTTCTTTTTTTTTTTTTTTTTTTTTGCAGTACTGGGGATTGGACTCAGGGGGACTTTACCACTGAGCTACACCACCAGCCCTTTTTATTTTATTTTAAGACAAGGTCTCACTAAATTGCCCAGGTTTGCCTCGAAATGACAATCCTCTTGCCTTAGCTTCCCCAGGAGCTGGGATTTACAGGAGTGCACCACAGCGGCCAGCAGCAAAGCCTTCTCTTAAGTCCACCCACAGAAATATTTGTGTGAGACATGTAACTAAAGAGGAGATCCTTCTGCATGTTTCCTGCTTTATCTGTGGTTTATTCATGCTGTTTTAGGACTTTACTTCTGAGCCCTTTTTACACAGTGACTGCTCATAAACTGAGTGAGAGGTGGTAAGAGATAGGCTTGTCATCTAAAAGATGCACTTTGCTAAGAGAATGAAATAGAATGCGGTGGAGGGTGTAGGAGTTGAGTGGGGTAGGAGGCAGATGAGGAAAAAAGATGAAGAGAAAGTACAGAGGCATCAAGCGCATGGTTTCTGAAAGGAAAGTGAGAAAGCAAGAGATGGGCGAACGAGAAATGAAGGACAGAGATCAGGCAGAGATCCACACAAAGGTTTATTTGTCAAAGTTGACAAATAAAGGCCGACCCTTTATAGAGAGGAGAGAGGCCCCGAGATGTTCAGGTATTGAGCTTTTGTTGGGTAGGGGTTTGGAGGTGTAGCTGTGGCGCTGTGGGATAGGCTGGGGGTACTTGCATCAGAGGTAGGCGGGTGGGAATAGCATGGGATTGGCTTAGGTTGATGGCACCATGGGGCTTTCCAGGGTCAAGGGGTCATGTCCTTCTGGGATTGGCTTATGGTTGTGGTACCATGGGGTAGGTCACTAAAGGGGGTAAACTTATCTCTCATGAGATGGCAGTTAACATTTAAGATGGCTGCTCAAATGTTAAATCAAGACCCTATAGTTTCATCATGTGTTCCCTACTGTTATTACTGTTATTTCCTCCTCATTTTCATACTTACACTTTAATATTGACATGTAATATTATTTTTTGTGTACTTTCATCTCTTCAGAGCAAACTTAAATATCAAATAAGTCATATGATATTGGGTATATAAACAAGCCTTTCGGAGCTTAGCTTCCTCATTAATTTCCCAGCCCAGAATTGTTGGATGGTTTAAATTATGCAAGCACGGCAATTTTTTATTTACAAAGCAATCTGTGTGAGCTATTATTAGTGACATGGTTAGACTTTCATTTTAGTAATTCTATTAGCAATAGAATATTGAGCAAATGAGATTAGGAGATCAACAAATACAATATTCCAGTAATGTAGGCCACAGCTAGTAAGAACAGTGGTAGGGGTAAAAAGAAGAAAGTAGTCCAAAAATAATTAGATGATAAACAGAAGCTGGATACAAGGGCTAATGATAAAGGAACGGTGTAGGTAAATCCCAGGCTAGCCCCCATTTATCTTGGTCAGGATATATTATAACTGATCTTTACCACAACCTTTCAGAAGAAGTTAAGATCTTTTCAAAATAATCTTTTATAATCAAAGAGGTTGAATGATTGAACCCAAAAGAGAAGAGCCAGAATTTGAAGCAAAGTCTAATCAGCTTCAAATGCTCTTTCCACAATATCTTGTTACCTCCTGTGGCTAAGAGGGCTGAGGAGAACACAGTAGTAGCAGTAAGTCTGAGAGAAGACAAGACTCTTTGTTTTAGACATTAAACTTATTTGCTTGTAAAATATTCAAGAAATAGTAGGAGATCTTTTCAGGAGCAGCTTCAAGCAGAGGCTTGGACAGGGACTGTCTGTGTGTGAGACATCAACATAGAGGTGATGGGTAGAATCACTGGAGTAGATAAGGTTTCCTGGGAAGGTTATTTGGAGGAAAATTAATAGTGGACCAAGGGCAGAAACTGTCTTCCCTTCAATGTTTGGAGCCAAAAGGAATACAAATGGAATTTTCCAAGATAGGAGAAGACCCAAGAAGAGATTATCATCTTGGAATCCTGGGGTCCATTATCTTCCTGGGGGCAGATAATGTAATGGGCAAAGGACAGGTTGTGAGAAATAAAGTAAAATTAGGAAGTTTAAAAAAGAAAGAAAGAAATGAACTGGAGAGTCCAGTTGCTATTCAGCTCCAGCCAGTTGCTATCACGTTGAATTTAGGACTAATGAGGCAGAATTTCCCATTTTTATTCCTCCACAAGAAACTAAAACACAATTTTTAATCCACCCCCACTACCAAATCCAAGTATTTAAATGTTCTCAACTAATTCAGATTTTTCTGAAACTAGAATCTATCTCAAGCAAATTATATCTGTGAGTTATATTTGTTTTGCTAGCCACTACTATTTTTTTGTTTGTTGTTTAATGAAAAAGCAGTCCAGAAAGGCCCAGTAAGTTAATTCCATGGCAGTATCAAACTGTTGGTCTTCATTGATAACCTTTCCTAGAATAGTGGTCTGAAATGGTGAGGACACCACAATAATGAGCATAGAGGTGTACAGGGGAGGCAAGTGAAGTTAGCAAGGATCAACAAAAATGCAGAGTTGAAGAGAGAATGGTATGATTGTTGACGAGAGACATGGACAAGGAAGGGTCACTGCTCTGTGCTTTAGTGCATTTTTAGCTGATGTTCAAAGTGTCAAACAATTTTTGCTTTTTAATTTACTGAATATATTTGTTCAATGCTATGTGAAGGATCCTAACCCCTTCCCCATTTTGCAGCTGTTTTTTCACTTACAAAGAGAACGGTCCTTTCCTGAACACAGAGCAAGGTTTTATGCTGCTGAAATTGCCAGTGCATTGGGTTACTTGCACTCCATCAAAATAGTGTACAGGTAAACTGTTTAAATAATATATGTAAAAATATTGTTTTGATATTTTATTTCAGGTAATACTCTGTTTTTTTCCTTTCCTTTTAAAGAGACTTAAAGCCAGAAAATATTCTTTTGGATTCAGTGGTAAGTATTGTCTTGTAAAAATCTACTAGTTCTTAATTATTTGTTATTTGTGGTGGGGGAAAAAGTCTTAGAAGGTGTCATACTAATGATTGCATTTATATAAAATTCTCAAGAAGATAAAATCATGGAGACAGAGAACAGATCACAATGGTTACAAGCGGGGTGGTGGATGGGCAAGGGGAGAGAACACAGAACTATAGGGGCATTCCTCTGTGATGGAATAGCTCTCTATCTTGATTGTAGTGGGTATTATATCAATCTCTACATATATATTGCATAGAACCACACACACACACACATACATACACATATACACACAAGTGTGAATGTTCAAAATAGTGAAACTGAGTAAGTCTTAACAGTGTTGTTCCAATGTCAGTTTCTGTTTGATACCATGCTGCAATGATACGTCAGCATTGGGGGAAGTTGGGTAAGGGTATACAGGCTCTGTGTGCTATTTTTGTAATTTTTTTTATTTTAAAAATAAGATTTTTTTTTTAAAAATTGTCTATTTGTGTTCCTGCATTGTTTTATCTTACTACCTCTATTTTTGTCAGGGACATGTTGTCTTAACAGATTTTGGGCTTTGTAAAGAAGGAATTGCTATTTCTGATACTACCACCACATTTTGTGGGACTCCAGAGGTAAGAAACATGTCTTGTTGTTGATATAATCACTGATAAGATGCAAATGTGAATCACATTTACATATACTAAATTGAAATAGGAAAAGTAGAATAAAAACTATCATTTCGCCTTTCAGCCAACTAGAAATGTAATCATCCCTTCTGGATGTTTTGAGTTTATTGATAGTTGGTATTTTTCACTGACATTGTAAAATACCACAAAACCCTTTTTGGATAATCCAACAAAGTTATGCTTATTTTCTCTAAGTGTTGAAAGTTTACCTTAGACTTGTTTAGCATTTGATTATATTTCTAATCCTTTAAGAAAATCACAAATCAATTAAACTATCCTAAAATTGATTATGGTCATGGTTTTACCATGCTGTGAATATCTTAACAGTCATTGAATTGTATACCTAAACAGATACATTATATGGTATGTTACTATCTTCCTAAAGCTTTTTTTAATGAGTTAACACTAATAAAGAGGATAAAATATTAAGACTGCCTACATCTGTGTGGCAGTTTTATTGATTTCTATATTTTTCTATATGGTTGGAATATTTTGTGAATAAAATAATTACTTTTTAAAATTTTTTAGCTTTATTTTATTCATTTACTTTTATGTGGTTTTGAGGATTGACCCCAGGGTCTCACACATGCTAGGCATGTGTCTGAGCCACAATCCTAGCCCAATTAATTTCTTTAATAGAATAAGCTAAAGCCATAGATGTAAAAAAAAAAAAATTAAAAATCCTAATTCACAACCCAAGACATCCCATTCTCTAATCACATTAGGAGAAAAAAAGTCTTTTCATTTGTGACATTAGTAAGCCTTACAACTTATATTTAAAAGCCTTACTCTCACCTCACACACATTTATTTTAAACTATCCTAATTTTATTATATAGTGATCTTAAGAACCATGTGATATTTCAACCTTGTTGTGGAGTAATTGCAAATACAGTGCTGAAATTGGAACCTGGATTAGAGCCCCAGCACCTCACACACACAAAAAAAGAAAACATGATAAATTGGCTTACATGACCTTCTGATCAAGATCCAAAACACACGTTGGGTGCTATGTCATACTCCTATAATCCCAGCGGTTTGGGAGCCAGGCAGGAGGATTGTGAGTTCACAGCCAGCTTTGGCAATTTGGCAAGGCCCTAAACAACTCAGCAAGACCCTGCCTCTAAATAAAATATAAAAATGGGCTGGAGATGTGGCTCCATGATTAAGCACCCCTGGATTTAGTCTCTGGTACAAAAAAAAAATCCAGAATAATTTAAAGTATAAGTAATAGGGTTGGGGTTGTAGCTCAGTGATAGAATACTTGTCTAGCAGGAGTGAGGCACTGGATTCAATCCTCAGCACCACATAAAGTGAATGAATGAATAAAATAAAGGTTAAATTATTTACATTAAAATGTATTTTTCTCTAACTCACTCTTGCTCTTATATATATTTGTAACCATTCTATTTTATTTATAATGTAAAGAAACACTTTTTGTGATGATACAATGAATTCATAATTAATGAAATGTAAAGTTCTATAGTTTTTAGAAAGGAAAAAACTTGTCATTTAAATATGAATGTGATCATAAATTGTTAAACTTTTTAAATTTATATTACCATTTCTTTGGTTCACATAAAAAAGTTTAAGATGAAATTATTTCCTTACATATATTTCATGTGGGAAAAGGTTATATATTTTGGAGTATAAAATTCAAATTTACCATCTTCTAAGTGTGAAATTCTGATGAATTTAAGTTTTTTACAAATTAAAATGTAAATTGCCACTTAATAGCTTACACAAGTTTTCTAAATATGTTTGAGAATTGAAAAGTGTTCCAGGGCTGGGGATGTGGCTCAAATGGTAGTGCGCTCGCCTGGCATGCGTGCGGCCCAGGTTCAATCCTCAGCACCACGTACAAACAAACATGTTGTGTCCACCAAGAACTAAAAATAAATAAATAAATATTTTTTAAAAAAAACCACAATTGGAACTTCTTTAAAAAAAAAAAAAGTGTTCCAGTTGGCATTGACTAAGAATCACTGTTACAGAATGAGAACACCCAGCCTACTGAAAATCAAAATGATATGTTTTCATTGTGGTAATAAAACACCTAAACGTTGTTAAATGTATTAATTATTCCTAAATTTCATCTTGAGTTTTGTTGAGTTGCTCTTATGTTTAATTCTTTTCTACAGTACCTTGCACCTGAAGTAATCAGAAAACAGCCCTATGACAACACTGTGGATTGGTGGTGCCTTGGTGCTGTTCTGTATGAAATGCTGTATGGATTGGTATGTATTTCTGTTCTTTGATTGTTATTCCAATATGCTATTATTGATTGGCGCTTTCTTTCTCTCTCTCAATAATCTCACAGACAATTAGATAATACTAATAGAGCAGATATAACCTGGTTAAAAGAATTTAAGCCCATATTAGGAATATGCACAAAAATAAATTTTTTTTCATTTTTTACTAGTGTTTTAAATTAATAAAATTATCTCTGGCATACTGATCACTGCTTTAGATATTTTCATTCCACTGGAACTTTCAGAAATAGACATCTAATTGTAACATTAAAATTACCTGCTTTTACTCCATGTACCCCAAACATCATCTTCCTAATTTCGAGATGGAAAAGAAAAAGATTTTTGCATTTATCAGTACATTGTATTTCAAAAGAAAATGTCTTTTGAGTTTTGCCTTTTAAGTCATCCTCTGTTACCTTCTTTGAAAACGCCATGTCTTGAAGATTTCATGGGAAAAAGTAATGTTTACTATGTAATAGATTTATTCAGTTTTTAATAAGTGTAGAATACATTAGGTAGGCCAGTCAGACCTATCCCACTCCTCAGTTTATACCCAAAGGATAAAAAACAGCATACTACAGGGACACAGCCACATCATTACAGGGACACAGCCACAAACCTTATTTGTTTGTTTTTCTGTACTGAGAATAGAAAAACTGTAGGACCAACCTAGATGCCCCTCAGTAGATGAATGGATAAAGAAAATGTGGTATTTATACACAATGGCTTTTTGAAATATTTGAAGTAGTGTTTAGATTCCCTTTGTGGTCCCTTAGTCTTCTGCTGGGAACTATATATCTAATCCTTTGTGCTAAATGCTACCATCAGCTGAGATGTACCTAAGGTTTTTTGTGTGTGTGTTTACTTTTCCTCCAAACTGTGAAGTTTGATTGGCACAATCAGGTGCATTTTAGAGTATTTGTTTAATATCACTAATTTTGAATGCTGGAGTCCTAGAAAAGCCAGTGCCTTTGGCTAAGAACACATTAAAAGAGCTACTTTTCGCCGGGTGCAGTGGTGCATGCCTGTAATCCCAGCAGCTCTGAAGGTTGAGACAGTAGGATCACGAGTTCAAAACCAGCCTCAGCAAAAAGTGAGGCACTAAGCAACTCAGTGAGACCTTGTCTCTAAATAAAATATAAAATGGGGCTGGGAATATGGCTCAGTGGTCAAGTGCCCCTAAGTTCAATCTCTGATACAAAATAAAGCTACTTTTATAGTAATGCTAGCAACTTAGAACCTTATTTGTTTGTTTTTCTGTACTGAGAGTAGAACCCAGGGCCTCACATATGCTAGGCAAGCACTGTATTGCTGAGCTACATCCCCCAGCCCAACCTTTGGAAAACTACCTCTTTCTTATTTTCACTGTTTGCTGTCTTGATATATCAGAACTTTTTTATTTCTTTAGCGGACTTTGAAAATATAAAATGAAGTTTTATACATATATATATATATACATGTTTTGAGACAGGGCCTCCCTAAGTTGCTGAAACTGGCCTTGAACTTGTGATCCTCCTGCCTCAACCTCCTAAGTAGCTTTGATTTACAGACATGTGCCACCATACCTGACTTGAAGTTATATTTTAAAAAGCCAAAAATTTTTTTAAAGTCTTTTATTTCCCATAAAACAGAAATAAAAAATGACAGGCCTATAAAACTTCCTTAACTTTAAAAATTATTTTTACTTTAATACTTTGAACTAGGTAATTAACTGGCCAATGCTCATGTTGAAGCTGCAATTATAGCTATATAGCCTATAGACTATGATACTAGCCTTTTTATATTTCTGCAAAATATACTCATAATACTGCCACTGTCACAAGTACTTAGAAGCTTATCTTCAGGTCTCACTCTCTCCTAGAATGAGTTTTATTCCCAAGTCTCAAGAAATTATTTAATGTTTATATTTCCAATGATTCTATCATACCTGTGATTAGGTTGGTGGTTTTCTCTAAAACCTACCATTATGAGTTGTGTGCAATTTCACAGCTGTCTATAGAGTACTATTGAAAAAGCTTTATTTACTCAGTGAACATGAAACTACACCGCATGCTAGGTTTAAGAATCCATTTGCATCAGGAGGCCACACTGCAGATGTCTGCACATCCCAAGAGGGTTCTGCATTTCTGCCATTGTCCAAACACAACTGCTGTCTACAGATCAAAGCCAAATCCAACTACTTAAAAAACATTTTGGTATGATTTATTTACCTGTAAGTTTATTCTGCTTGTTTTTCAGCCTCCTTTTTACTGCCGAGATGTTGCTGAAATGTATGATAATATTCTTCACAAGCCTCTAAGTTTGAGGCCAGGAGTGAGCCTCACAGCCTGGTCCATTCTGGAAGAACTCCTAGAAAAAGACAGACAAAATCGACTTGGGGCCAAAGAAGACTTTGTATGTAAAATATTTCCCAGTATCAGCTCTACTATGTCTTATTTAAAATTTGGAGATAAATCCTTATTTTATATGACATTTGATGGTATAAATACAGCTATTAAAGAATAGCACAACTGGTGGAGGATTTAACTCAATGGTAGAGTACTATCCTAGAATTCATGAGGCTCTAGGTTTAATCCCCAGCACCAAAAATAACAACAAAAAAAACCCCAGCACAACTGAAACAAAAAGCATACTCGTCCCCACAATTTTCACTAGTATTCATAACAGGACTATATAGTGCTTAAAGCACTTTGACTTATATTTTTTCACTTAATCTTTATAATAATTTAATCTGTTCTTTATACTCCACATCTAGCTTTCATGTCCTGTTACTTACTTGATTTTTATGTACAGTTTCCTCTCCCTTAACTTTCCTTCTTCTTTATTTTTAATTTTTTATTCATAGATGGACACAATAATTTTATTTTGTTTATTTATTTTTATGTGTTGCTGAGGATGGAACCCAGTGCCTCACATGTGTGAGGCAAGCACTCTGCCACTGAGCCACAACCTCAGCCCCTGCCTTTCCTTCTTTTTAAAAAAATGTTACAGCTAGGAACAGTGGTGCACACCTGGAATCTGACAGGCTAAGGCGCAAAGATCGCAAGTTTGAAGCCAGCTTCGGCAACTTGTGGAGAACCTGTCTCAAAATGAGAAGGGCCGGGATTGTAGCTCAGTGGTAGAGCACCACTGGGTTTAATCCCCTGTACCTTGACCAGTGTGGTGGATAAATGTGGGTTGGACATCTAGCTGAGTAAAAGAGTGTGCACATCTGCAAGTTTCTGGGTTTGGTCCCTAGTACCACAAAAAGAAAAATAAATGTGTTTCTTCAGGCTTTTTGAAATATTCTGAATAGTTCCCCCAACTTATCTCTTATAGCAGATGATCTTGTTTTGTGTTTTATAGGGGAAAAGAGCCATCAGAGTGGAACTAACTCAGCTTCCTGCTGTCAAACTTGCAGACCTTACATGTACCTTTACCTGCCATTCCTTCTCCCTGTTATGGTGGAAAAGGTCCATTTCCATCTGTATACTGGATTGTGTCCCCTAGCTAGGAACCCTGTGCATGTCTTTTTCTGTACAAGAAGCTTCTCCCTTGTTTTAGTCAGCTTTTTCATTGCTATGACCAAAGGACTGACAAGAACAATTTTAAAGGAGAAAAAATTTATTTGAGGGGGTTCATGGTTTCAGAGGTCTCAGTACATCAACAGCTAGCTCTGTTCCTTGGGGCTCAAGGCGAGAAAAAACATGGCAGAACAGTATGGCAGAGGGAAGCTGCTCACATTATAATCAGGAAGCAGAGAGCAAGATGAAGCTCAACTCACCAGTATATCCCAAAGGCATACCCCCAGTGATCTACCTCCTCTAGCCACACCCTCTCTGCCTGCAGTTACCTCAGTTATCCCTGTCACATGATTAATTTGCTAATTTGGTTAAGGCTCTCATAACCCAAATCATTTCACCTCTGAATATTCTTGCATTGTCATACATGAGCTTTTGGGAGACATCTCATATCCAAACCATAACATCCCTCTTGTTCTGTTTCCTTCCTATTGATAATGAAATATTATCAAATCTGCTTTTTTTTTTTTTTTGTACCAGGGATTGAACTCAGGAGCACTCAACCACTGAGCCACATCCCCAACCCTATTTTATATTTTATTTAGAGACAGGGCCTCACTGAGTTGCTTAACTCCTTACTTTTGCTGAGGCCAGTTTTGAACTCGTGATCCTTCTGCCTCAGCTTCCCGAGCTGCTGGGATTACTGTCATGTGCCACTACGCCCAACTGAGTCTGCTTTTTAGAAGGAAAAAACTTTCGACTCTACTGTTGTGTGAGGTACTACTATTCATCTTCTTCCCTTCATTGTCAGACTTGTTGAAAGTTTTCTATATTTATGCTCCTATTCCCTGTCTTTTCATATTTCTTAGTCTACCAGAAAATAGCTACCAGAATAGGATATGTCTATTCCTTAGCTTGCTTAACATTCCCCAGTTCCCTGGGCTCCTTCTAGAACACACTCATCTCATTCTGGGCCCTCTTCCATACTCTTCTGTGTGATTCCCTCTTCTTCAGCCTATTAGATATGGCAGTGCCTTGTGGTTATCTTAAACCCTCTTTTTCTTCTGTGCTCTTTTTCTGGAACATTCCTGTGGCTTTAGCTATCTGTATGACTTTATCTCTTACATTTATATCTTGAGACCTCTTTTAAATTCTAAACTATAGTATCTGCCAGCTTCTCCCACAGCTGAGTTTCCTTAGAATTCCTCAGTGACAGCATGCTCAAAATTGAAATCCTAGCACTGGGGAAGCAGATCATGATAGAACTCTTACTCAGTGTGGGCAAGGCCCTGAATTCAATCCCTAGTACTACCAAAAATAATCTACCTACCTACCTACCTATATGTATGTGTATATGAAAATTGAAATCCTGCTCTCATCCTCTTGTCCTCTTCTTTCATATTAAATTATATCATTGTCCATCTGGTTATTCTGTTAAGAAATCTGAAAGGCCTTCTTGACTTTTTTCTCTATAAATAAATTTCATATTTAACAACAGGTTCTATTGCATTTGCCACCTAAATCTTTCCAATAACCAGACACTTCTTTATGACTTGACTCTCCAATTCATTTCCCCTTAATAGCCAAGGAAAACCAGCCAAACAACAACAGCAACAATAGTTGACATCCCTGTACCTAATACTCCTTGATGGATTCCCATAACCCTGAAATAATCTGAAATTCTTAACATAGACTCAGCATGGACCATTCAGCTCTTGAGCTTCACCTGATGTGACAGTCCCTTCTGTCCCTGTGATACTGAGTCTCATTTTCTTGACCAAACTAAACTCTTTTCACCATAGAACCTTCCTATTCTGCCTGGAACATTGTTCTTTTATTTTGTCATATTTATCTTTAAGATCACCGGTCAGACATCACTTTAAGAAATCTTTTTTAATGCACCAAACCACATTGGATCCTAGTTTATACACTCCCATGGCACCTTTCAGGGGAGAGAAAAAATCTAGAATCAGTACTGTGCCAACTTTTGAAAGTACCAACCCAGAGTACATTTTTTTTTTGGTAGTAGAGTTCATCACTTTACTTCCACTTCACTTATAGAACTATTGGCTCAACTTATTTATATCCTCTGTTCAGTTAGTAATTCTTTGGTGCCGCCTTATTTTCATAGCACTTTTATTTCTATATTTTTATGTTCATCTTTAAAGCAACCTGTGAAGTATTTAAATCAGAAATATTAACCCAATTTTACCTGTGAGAAAACTGTTGTGAAGGGACATAAGTTTAAGTAGGTCATTTAAAGTAACTGTCTTTCACAAGTCTACCACCATTTTGCCACATGAATGACATAAACATTTGCCTAAAAAAATTATTGGGGAGCAAAATCATAATGATTTGGCCTCATAAAATTCTTCAGTGAGTACTTAATATCTTCTTCATCATTAGTAACAATTCTTTTTTCTTAATATTCTAGCTTGAAATTCAGAATCATCCTTTTTTTGAATCACTTAGCTGGACTGACCTTGTACAAAAGAAAATTCCACCACCATTTAATCCTAATGTGGTGAGTATATACCCAAATCTTTTTTTATCTAAAGTAGGGAAACATAGAACTGTAGTTATTATAATTTTGGAAATAGATCTCAAAATCTAACCTGAATGAAATAAAGTCAGTATTTAAATATTTGTGAAATATGTCACACAGGGTTATTTACTACAACTAATAACTTTCATAAGTTTGTAGTTACATTAGGTTAATGAAAATATCTTCCAGCACAGTTGTGAAGTGTTTTTTTTTTGGGGGGGGGAACATGAGTGAAAAAGAAATGAATTCAGTAAGTTAAAAGAAAAAAAGCAAATTAACTTGTTACGTATCATTTTTATACTTACTAAATCAATAAACATTTTTAAGTAACACTAAGGATAGTTTTTTCCTTAGATTAATATAAAACCAGATACAAGCAGACATTTTTAATGTCAGTGTAAACTGTTATATCCTTTTTGGAAAACAGTAAGATAGTATTATAAAAATGTTCATGTTAGCTAGACTTGTTAAATCTACTGATGGAAACCTAAAGGAAATGTCTTTATGCAAAAAGTTGTATCAAAGATTTGTTAATACATACCAGGTTTGATAGTGCATGCCTATAATCCTAGCACCTTGGGAAGCTGAGGCAGGATTCAGATTTTTGAATATATATATAAAATAAGATATCTTAGAGATGATGGAACTCAAATCTAAACACAGAATTCATTTATGTTTCATATGCATTTTATGCATATAGCCTGAAGGTAATTTTATGTAATATTTTGGTGTACCTGGGTTTTGATTGCAATCCATAACATGAGGGTCAGATGAACAATTCCACTGGTGGCATCATATTGATGCTCAAAACATTTAAGATTTTGATGCATTTCAGATTTGGGATTTTTATGTTAGGGATGCTCAACCTGCGTCTTCTTTACAGAAGAGAAAACTAACTTAAGAGATAAGGTAATTTATATAAAGAATTACAGTTAACAAATTTCACAGTCAGAATTCAGAAACCCATGCTTCAGAATTTTTTGAGGGGGAAATTTTAAAAAATTGTATTTCTTTTATGCTAAAATTCTTTTGTAATTGTAATTCTTTTATGCTATAATTTTTAGAATTCTTTGTCTCCTGTAAGGGATTTTCTTATATGGAAGGATCAAGCATTCCAGGTTTCTGTGGTCTCAGCTCAATTTGTAGACATACCAGGCTAATTAATATTTTTAGTTTATAATCTCTTCTGAGATTATAAACTTAATGACTTGGACATTTCAGTGATTTCCTTCCAGTAAAGCAGAAAAAAATTAATCACCTGGATTTGTATCCCAGTTTTTATCTGTAAATATATTCAAAGTCCATTAGCTTGCATCAGACTCATAAAGGAAGAATAAAACTACTGCCTGTGAACCTAAGCAGTGGCTGTACTCCATTCCCCATGAACCTGGTCCACTTGGGTGTCCACTAAGAAAGCCCTATCAAAGGCTTCATGACCTCTGTAGCACAAGAGTGACCTTTCACAGTTTTACTTGCAGCCCGTTCATTCCTCCATCAAAAGTCTCTGTTTATCCAGAGATGAGAAAGTAGATGGACAGTAGATGGGCATTCCTGGAAGCTCAAATGCAGAATGCTATTCTGAAATCCCACCTGAGCTTTGTTTCTGAATATAGGGCTGGTGGTAGGTAGAGAGAAGGGGGATCAATTATAGGGTCTCAGATTCACATTAGCAGAGGTAAGGGGGCCTCTATTATGTGAGCCTTTCTCAACTTTCTCTTTCCCCTCCCCACCCAACAACAAGAACCTTAACTGTTAGTGCAGATAGCCTTACCTCAATAAAAGTACAAAAAGAAAAAGTAGAAATTTGAAGTAGGAAAACATCTAAACTTGTTAGGAAAAAAATAAAATCATAAAAACATTTTGATGAAGGGTGAATGAAAGAAAAGCGAAGGTGACTAATATCATTCTTTTGATGTTTTAGGCTGGACCAGATGATATCAGGAACTTTGATACAGTATTTACAGAGGAAACTGTTCCATATTCTGTATGTGTATCTTCTGACTATTCTATAGTGAATGCCAGTGTACTGGAGGCTGATGATGCATTTGTTGGTTTTTCATATGCACCTCCTTCAGAAGACTTATTTTTGTGAACAATTTGCTATTCAGAAACTGTCATGCAAATATAAGACTGCGGATGGGACTGAGACTGCTATTTTGTGAATATATTCAAATATGTATAACAGTGCCTCATTTTTACATGTAATGTTAAAAACTATGAAAAATGTATTTTCTGCTGTATGCAAGAAAATAGGGCATTTCAAAGAGCTGTTTTGGATTAAATTTGTATTCTTGTTTATTAAGCTTATTTTTAAACAGAAAATTTAAAAACTGTTATTCTTAGCATTAACCTATTTTTGAAGAAAACTTTTTTGCTATTGACTGTTCTTTTTCCCTCTTAAGTTTACACTAACACCCAAGATAGACTGTTTTGTAGCAGTCTATTTCAGTTCAGTTAACTTATATTAATACCTTTGTAATTCTACTACAACTTTTGTTATCAAATCAAAACTATGCAATTGGTACATGGTTGTTTAAGAAGAAACCGTATCTTTCCATGATAAATCACTATTTGAAATAATCGGGTCGTGGTAGGGTAAAAATGTAAAAGCATAATTAACATATTGGCTGCTAGTTAACACTGTTAATAACTGTTCATTTTGCTGATAATAAAATAAGTAACAAAGTAGTAAAAAATGAAATCATTTGCTTTTGAAATACCAGTTCAAATTTTTGAATTATTTTTTCTCTACAGGGAAATTAAAAATGGTTTAAAATTTTAAGGATTCCCAAAGATTTGGAGGGTAATAAAGTACTGCCAGAATTTATTTTTAGGTGGTGCCAAAAAGCAACCATATGTCATGTATTTATATTACAAATATATTCTATTTATGTTCCTTTGGGTCTTTTGAATGTTTAATATGTTATTAAGTAAGTTTAAATCTTGGTATTTTTGCTTTTACAAATAGCTATTTCAAACTATCTTCCTAGTTGGTTACATAAAAAGAAATATGTAGCTCTATAGAATATTTACCTGATTGGGAAATGTAAATGTATATAGTTTTATTACACTGTAACAAAAGTTAAAAATAGTTTAGGCAGATGCATACTAAATATCTTTTTTAAAATTTTCTTTAGTGGTTCTGGGGATCAAACCCAGGGCGTTGTGCCTCCTAAACACTGCTGTACCACTGAGCTACACCCCAGATTCTTCAGTTTCTGTATGTATCTTAGAAAAAGTAAGGAGCTTGACATGGTGGCACATGCCTATAATCCTGGTGGCTTGGGTGACTGAGGCAGGAGGATCGAGAATTCAAAGCCAACCTGAGCAAAAACAAGGCACTAAGCAACTCAGTGAGACACTGTCTCTAAATAAATAGAGCTGGGGATGTGGCTCAGTGATTGTCTCCGAGTTCAATCCCCGGTACTCCCCCGCAAAAAATGAAACTGACTTTAAAATCATAACATACTAGTAATTTGTGCATTTGTAATGGTAAAAGAGAATGGCTATAGAAAAAAGAAAAAAAAGAATGCTTAACTTGGAATTCTGGTTCTTAGAGTGGTAGATTTTTCAAGTCCTGTAGGAAGCAGTATCGTGAGAGGTTAGTGACCCAATTTAGATGTCTCTTCTCTTCAGAAAGAAATCACAAAAGCATTTCTCACCAATACCCTTTGGCTCATAATTCAACAGAACAGGGAAGAGGAGTATGCTTTTGTTCAGTTAATAATAATTACATTCAATACACTGAATTTTCCTTTAGAGGTTAAATTTTAATATCTACACTGTAAATATTTGGTTTGTTTGGCACTACTGTGAGTTCTGCTTTTACACAAAGCTCTTTGTGATAAACCAAAACGAAAACTGTAGTTTCCTATGTGGGTTTTAAAATTCAGGTGATCTTTAATTAAACTTCCAAAATTTCAAGTGCAATATTGTATATTTTTAGGAACAAATTTAAAATAGAATTTTGATGTTTCTCAGATCACGAGAAATACAAATTGACATAGTAAAATAAAATTAGCAAAAAGGTTAATGCCTGTCATTATTTGAAATTAAAATTGGAAATGGTTACAATAGTCTTTACAAATATGTGGAAAGGGAAAATAAATTTTTAACAAAATATTTGGGCAGATTAACAGATTTTCCAAGTTTATCTTTTTCTCTCACAGCATAAGTCTCTTAGTAAAAATGCCCTTTGAATAGTTTATTTCACGGTAATTACTAAACTCAAAGATCTAAATGAAAACTTTTTATTGCTCATTAATGTAATTTGGAAGTTAGTTTTATTTTTGCAGTGGAATTTTCTGCCTCTTGACTTCACAGATTTTTCTTTTACTGGTTTTTACAGATTATTCCATTCCCAAGTAAAGGTTTATTGTCTAGTGGGGTCCCATTCTTAATACATGGAGCTTTTTCACTATTTCCTTGTGGAGAGGAAGGGATCAACTAGCTCTCTGGGTTCTCTTAAGGGCACTAATTCCACTCATCTCTCCGAAGCTTCATCTGTGAATGCTATCACATTGGGGATTTGATAATAACATGAATTTTGTGGGGACACAAACATTCAAGCATATAAATATGAAAACATCAAGTGTACATAAATGAGTTTCAAGTGGTTTGAGTACTTTGAATGATATGCCAAGTTTTGTGTGTAAAGGATATTAACAGGATGGAGAAAACTATGTAGCTTTATTAAAATCATATCGGGCTGGGGTTGTAGCACAGTGGTAGAGCGCATGCTTAGCATGTGTGAGGCTCTGGGTTCGATCCACAGCACCACATAAAAATGAAAAGGTCCATTCACAACTAAAAAATGTTTTTTTAAAAAACATACACATAAAAATATTGCCGTTTTCTACCACTTTTTTGTTGTTTGGTATTGAGGATTGAACCCAGGGGCACTTTTTTTTTTTTTGCAGGGTTGAGTACCAGGGATTGAACCCGGGGGCACTCAACCACTGAGCCACATCCCCAGCCCTATTTTGTATTTTATTTAGAGACGGTCTTACTGAGTTGCTTAGTGTCTTGCTTTTGCCGAGTCTGGCTTTGAACTTGCAACCTCAACCTCCAGAGCCACTGAGATTATAGATGTGCACCACCTCACCCAGCCCCAGGGCCACTTTTACCACTGAGCTATATCCCCAGTCCTTTTTATATTTCATTTTTGAGAAAGTTGAGGGTGTGGCAGAGTTGCTGAGACTGACCTCAAACTTGGCACATCTGCCTCAAGACTTCTGAGTCACTAGGATTATAGGCATGTGCCACCATGCTCAGCCTTTTCTTTTTTACTCAACTAATACTGAGTCAAATTCTTAACTTCCCCTGATAGCATTACAGTTCTAGGCCTATCTAATTTATGTAGCATTTTTGGTGTTTTGCAAATACTGAGTAAGCATCCATTTGTGATCTTGTAAACATTTTCCTCAGCTAAAAAGACCCCTACACAAATTATTTCTCAATTCATTATTTATATTACACCCATTTTTACAGAGATAATGAAATCAGAAAAAGTATTTACCTTTTAAAATTAATTTTTAAAATGACTTACCCAAAATTGAGACAATGGAGAAAAATTTAAAGCAATACCATACAAAAAGCCAATAGAGTTATTGAGTGTTTCATAAAGTAGCAAAGGGTCCTACAAATGAAAAGTAATTTATTTTTACATATTGCACAGGAAAAATGGGTTACCATATGAATATTAAGGGAATAAGTTAAAATAGTCATCATTCTTCAAATCCTGCTTACTGGAAGAACCAGGACATTGGGTGGTTTTACAAATCCTGTACTCAAATATAACTTGTAAATTTCTGTTGTAATTATTTTTTTTGCAGAAGTGTATTTCATCTTTTCTTCCCCCTAAAATATTTTAGGCAACTTACTTTATTAGGGAGCAGAGGTTTCCACTTCAGTTCTAGTTAAATTTTTGCAAAGTCTACAGTGAATTGTCAATATTTAAATGTTCTTATTTTTTAATGGTCAACACATGGATTCCAGAAAGCATATATACAGAAAAATCAACCTACTCAAATGCTAAAATTTTATCTCCATTCAATTTTTTTTCAGTCTTTCTGAATAGTTAATATGGCATTTCTCATGTTGATTTTTTCCTCTAATGACTCAATGATAGTAAATCATAATGCAAAAGTTACAAGCTTAAGTGTGCTGGTGTAGTTCAGTGGTAGAGCACTTGCCTAGCATGCCTGAGGCCTTGGGTTCAGTCCCCAGCACTGCAAAGAAAAAAAAAAGCTTACTTTATTAATGATATATTGATGCTGAACACCAACATTTATCTACTTTATTTTTTAAATTAGAGACAATTATTCCAATAAGTACAAAGGAAAAAGTCTAGCAGGTACGATTTGTAAAATTTTTATTAGTTATTGATGGACCTTTATTTTTGAAAGAAAGTTAAAATGTTATTTTCCTTTCAGAGTTTCATTCACACTGGTGGTGTGAAGCAATGGTGGATAAAACAGCTACATCTTCTATGCTGAGAAGCAGAGGCAACACACTGTATGAGTAATAGTCATTATAGTCTTCATTGCCATGCACTTGCACTAAAAAAAGAATTAACACCCCCCCCCATTTTAAATCTGAAGAGATATCAACACTTTCATGTTCATTGTAGCTACTACTCATGATAACCAAGTTAGGTGATCAACCTAAGTGCAACAGATAAATTCATAAAATGTGATATGTGTACCACATAAGGAATACTACTCATCCTTAAAAAGGAAATTCTGTTCTTCGTAAAAATTTTTAAATATATATTCAGTGTGATATTATCTAAAACATTTTAAATGTATTAAGTACATAAAATCTATTAGACTAGTGGATTGTTTGATATAAAACTCCTTTATTTGGCATATGAATGATTTATAATGGCTAAGTAATCAGTCAAAACTTTAAAAAAATATATGAATACCTTCTTGGACATTGAGTTATCTTTAAAATACAAAGCCTATAGCCTGGCAGTGGTGGCATATGCCAGAAATTCCAGCAACTTGAGAGGTTGAGGCCCGAGGATCTCAGATTCAGGGCTAGTCTCAGCAACTTAGTGAGGTCCTAAGCAACTCAGCAAGACCCTATCTCAGAATAAAAAATAAAAAGGGTTGCAGTTGTTACTTAGTGGTTAAGCTACCCTGAGCTCAATCCCCAATGCCAAAAAAAAAAAAAAAGGCCCATCATCAGACTATAATCTATTTCCATCTTAGGTGGTACTCATAACCGTGGAGGAGCAGAATTGTAGTACAATATGTACAGCCACTCTGCTGTTTCTAATTGATTTCTACTTTAAAAAAAAAAGTGTTCACCTTACCACTAAAATAGATTACATTCCTCCATAAAAATAAATTTTTTATACATGGAGAGGGATTTTAACAGAAGTCCACTTTATGCTTTGAATATAGCCCTTGCTACTCAACCACTGCAATTTATTTTTTAAATTGGCATGTTTCTTTCTCTTCCTCTCTCCCTGCTCCTCCCTTATTTCCCAATCCCTAATCTCAGAGGAAAGAGGATTACCTTTCTTCTTCATTCTAGACAGAGTTATCTGTACTTGAGAACTCAAGCACCATAGGAAAGAAGAAATCCGGATTTTGGGGATGGTACCCAAAGATCTCAGAAATTACTTCTTCCCAAATTAACAAGTAAATTACAACTCCATCAGAGAACACATACAATGTAACCTTGAATCCCTCTTTAAAAGCCCCCTGTTTCTGCTGATGGGCAGAACCACAACCTTTGGGATAGGAGTCCCCTGTGTTTCTCCTTTGCTAGCAAAGCAATAAACCTTCTTTTTCCTTTTTCTCAAAAACTGTGTCCTAGTTATTGGATTGACATTGGGGACGAGGACCGATCTTTCAGCAACAGGATGATCTCAATTGCTTCCCA